TGTCGAAAACAGTGGCGCTCGTGCATCCACTCGTTATTTTCCTAACACACTCTGCATGTATTCCGCATCTCACTCTATATGTATTCCCCATCTTCCGCTTGAATTTGCTTCGACATTCCAATCTTCATTTCGCTACTTTATCCAAATGGGCAACCAAAACCCGCGCACGAAAGTGCATGATTAATGGTTGTAAAACTGAAACTGTGGCATGGTTGGTGCAATCAGCAAGATCTTCGGTGAACTGTTAGATTTGTTTGGCTCATCAAATTACGATCGAGTATGGTGTACAAACTGAGTTCTTTGACAATGCATAAAAAAGCGTAACGAGAGAAGCGTTTTCCGTAGGATAAATGTCTAAGGTGAGAAATTTTCCTAAAGTTGATGATGTTTTAAAGTCGGATTCTCGCTGGTTGCTATTTTAGACCAGGAGCCATTTATTTCATCCCCATGGATTGTCGGAGCGGTAGGCTGATGACTTTGCTGGACGAGTCTCCGGCATATTAAGAGGTTATAGCATTTGTTATGAAATCTAGTCCTTTTGTCTATTACAGACGAGACCCAACTGTGCTACTGAAGTTCCGGAATAGTATTTGTTTCAAGTGATTCCATTGGGGGGGAAATGGCAATGTTGGTGTCTATGGTGCTTAAGTCAAGTATTGACGGTTTGTATAACACTGAGGCAGAAAAATGTCAAAACACTTTCTGTTGTGTTGCTAGACTGTTTAAATTTAGCCAGAAGTAACGTATAAGTAGCCTGGTGATCCCAGATACAACAGTACTTCGGAGATATGCGTCGCTGCAAAGCGCGTCCCCGGGTTGGGGATAGGAGGATAACCGCAAAAAGGGTTAACTGTGAATACGTCATGCTTTGTGGTGACAAATATGTTGTGAAAAAAACGCGGCGGCATTACCCAAACAAGGGGTTACGACAGACTGGTCGTCTGTCTCTCCGCAAAAGCCATACGAGCCTAACGACGGTTCGGTGGCAAAGGGAAAACGTGACTGACCTTTCAAAAATCAAGTCAATGACCCCATGATACACGACGTGAGGGTAACAAGGATAAACGCACGACGGCCTGCCATCAGCTAACGACCAAGAGCAAGAAATATATTCCCTATCGCCATTGACGCGGTTTAAACCTGCTGGCACTCATCTTTCGTTGAGGCTCACAATCCCCGGAACATGAACCACTTTGATCACCGGCATCCACAGGACCCCATTTCCGGACGCTGTTCCACTGCCTTGCAGGTTAGATTTGGACTAATCAAAGGATTCAGATAGAATTCCGAAATAAGGTTCCACTACCCAGTCTGAGCAGCCGAGAATTATACTGTCTCGGGTGGCGCTAGGGACATCATCTTGTACCATATTCCCAAAACACCTCATGAATATTGGATCCAAGAAACCGTGGCATTCTACCGCGAGATAAAGTAGTGTAAAAATAGAAGCATATGTTTGGATTAATCCTCAGTTTTCCCATATGCGGCGCAATGATATAGACATGCGGAAGTATGAACAAAAACTTACCGCCATCTATGAGTTCCTGAAAAAATTCTTGATCATACACCAGCGGAAGATCGTTGTAGGCTTCACCCATGGGTGACAGATAGGAAGAGATGGAATCGTATCGCGACTTGGGAAGAACGAATTTATTTCCCCCGAGAGGCTGTTGGGGAGGTTCCAGGGAGGGCGGGGGGCAATGAGTTCGCGACAAAATAAAATTTTGGGTGGTAATTTCGATTAATCACCGACGACCAGTAATAAATCGAAACGCTGCTTTTTTGGTGTTGGATCACAGTGAAAATTGACCCCGTGAAAGCAATTTGCAGCTATTCGCTATGTTTGTCTCGGTTAGTTGCGATAATGGAAA